TTTCCTTTCCTTTCCTTTCCTTTCCTTTCCTTTCCTTTCCTTTCCTTTCCTTTCCTTTCCTTTCCACCTGCCCCCAAAACTGCTTACGGCTCTTAACAATTGCTGAGGTGTGCTTTTCCTCAATCAACTTGAAATGATTGTTGCTATTATAACAAAATTTCAGATACCCCATTTCTCCCTCCTCCCTTGGTCTTTTTCCCTAATGAATGTTGGTGGCAACTAAGAAGATTCAGTCCTCATGGGGCTGTTTTGATGCTTCCAGCCTCACCCAAGCTTTTTCCTGAACTATGCAAATTTCTGGATCCAAGCCTGCTGAATCTTCTCCCTTGGATGTTTGTGTGTTGCTATTTTGGAACGTAAACAATGGCACTCCCAGTTTGAACCCTGGAAATAGAGAGCAATGATTTCATAATAAGATCCTCAGGGATCCTCCTACATAATATAACCAGATCCTTTGCAAACAGACGCATGAAACATTCTCCCTGTAATATCAATTCCTTAAGCAAATGCTAATAAATTACAGTAGTCCTCAACAGTCATGAATTTTGGCTAGATCTTGTTCCTTTGTGAGCTGCACTGTTTGCCAGTTTGCTTCCGAGTACAGTTCAAGGTGCTGGTTGTTAGCTATAAAGCCCTACATGGCATAGGGCCTGGTTACTTGAGGGATCACCTGTCTCCCATAGCATCTGCTCGGCCAGTTCAATCCTGCATGGTTGGCGAGCTCTGGGTTCCTTCGATTAAACAATGTCATCTATTGGGACCCCAGAAGCACACCTTCTCTGTAGCAGCATCTGCCCTCTGGAACAAGGTTCTCCCTAAGATCCCAATGGCCCCCACTCTTCTGTTGTTTAGAAGAACCATAAAGACCTGGCTCTTCACCCAGGCCTTTGGCGAGGGACAGTGAGACCCCTCATTTCATCGTGCTTGCCATCTTTTAACTTGATCTGCTATGTTTTATTGATTTTACTGTAATTTCTTTGATTGTTGTGAACCACCCAGAGTCACTGAGAGTTGGGCGGCATGCAAGTTTAATAAATTATTATTATGGTTATATTATGATTATTATTAGATTGGGACTGGGGGACACAAGTTCAATCCTCCACTTGAATTCACTGGGTATCTCTGAGACAGTCTATCTGCCACAGGCTTATCTATCTGCTGTTATGCAGATAAAATTAGGGAAGACTTTATATTCACGAACTTGATTTCGGAGAGAAAAGGTGCTGTATAAATGCAATAAATAAATACTACATACCAAAAGTGAACAGAAACAAGGTAGAAAACAGAAACTAACCAATAACATGGGGGGCCATAAGAAACAATTAGAGATGGAGTAAAGTTTTCCTTCCAGAAGAGGAAGCTTCTATTAAATACACCTTGAAACACTTCAGAGTCCTACCCAATCTACGTTAGAATTACATTTTGCTATAAATTAAAAAAAAACAACCTGAAATTCTATAGCTACCCAATAATGTGATACTCTTTAAAAGTGCATGAAAGGTGACAAGCCCAGATGAAACAGCCTTACCTGAAGGAATCCAATATACAGGAGCCAATCCAGGTATTACATCTATGAAAAGTCTCCATATTCTAAATTGATCACATTAAATTACTAAATTAAATAGCTGTCTAATGTATAAATAGCGTCTTTTTTCAGTGAGTATGCTACAAGCAGCATAAAAAGCATTCATACTATGGGCATATTCCTTTTCTTCTGAACACTGAACTGGAAAAAAAATAACAAGGAATCAGCCATGTATCATTCACAAGTTCTACAATTGCATCCATCAACCATCATATAACCTAACATTGAGCTCTTGTGATCTCTTTAATAGCAGTCATATGAAAAGGCTTTAAAAAAAAAGAGGACTTGGTTTTAATATGTTGCGCTGTGCTGCCCTCTCTAGACTTAACACAGATACTGGCACTCTAGAAATATGGGTAACATGCTTCTTCCAATGCAGCCAGATTACTGTGATTGATTATAAGGTTATGTTGCTGTCCAAATACCCTTGTTATAAATGTGACTGAAACACACACCCCCAATGCAGATGCAAATGCAATATTGTTTTTAGACAAGGGCAAATTGATTTACATAAAATGATAAGGTTCAATGTAAATTCTGCTTTGTATGCATAAAATAATTATTAATGGCCAACTGCCAAAGACAAGAACTTTTATATCACAAAATATTTTTAAAGAGAAAAGTCTGGATATTCTGCTGAGTTTCTGACTTCTCTGAAAGTCAGTTTGAGCAGTCGGTTGTACTGGATATTAATGCACATGTTTGCATAAATCTGGTTTTATTTGTTACTGAGTAATCCTACCCTGTTAATATACCTACAGAGAACTCCAGGAACTGAGCACAGAGGATGTCCCCACCAGGGAAGGCCTGAGAAGAGAACTAACTGCAACCCCCCCCAAAAAACTTGGTAGCCCCAAAAAAGCGAATCAAGCTTATACACCAAACTCAAAACAGTTTGTTTCAAAATACATCCCTTATAAAATTATACACATTTAAGAAAGCTGGCTTTATTTTAAGAGGTGAAAAAATATGGACCAAATCTATACAGACTATATCTGACTATACTGTATTTATACCACTTTTTATCCCCAAAGGCAAAATATACAGACATTAGCAAACCCTTGTGCCAATACTGGAACACAAGGGGTAATTGTGCAACCACACAGTCTTGCAAATGAGGGAAGTTTTAATAAGAAATTTCCTTTATAAACCAATGAAACCAAATCTTCAGCTAGAAAAAGGAGTTTACTGGAAAAAGAGAAATAAAGGGAAAACAAGGGAAGGCAACAATCACACCCAAATTTCCAATAAATTCCTTGTTACTTTGTGTAAGCTCTTCAGCTTCAGTATTGTTTAGAGTTCGTTGCAGAGAGCATGGCTGGAGAGAGATCATCTAGGCCTGCACGTTATTCCACAGGACATCATTGCTGCCTTTTCTTTTTTTCCTTTTCTTCTGAGCGCTAGCCTTGTTTCACAGAATGTGGAGGATCGCTGAAAGCCAGCTTCTTTGGGAAGACAGACTGTTGCTTCGCCCACTCAAGGAAAATGCTCCCTCTCTGATGTTCTTGGGTAATTATCTAGGAGCTCCTCCCGTGGACTTACTGTAATGCCCCTGGGTGGAATGATGAGCTCAGTCTAGTTTCAACAGTGTTGTCTTTGTAATAAAGGGGATTCCACAGGAGAGGAGTAGGGAAAGGAGGCTAAAGTCCATTTATTCAGGTCCTTAACAGAGGGTTACCTTGCCAGAAGCTTTAGGAGGCACTATACTGCCTTACCCAAACTGGGGAGATTTAATCAGCGTCACAACCCAAACCCAGCTGAAATCAGCTTTGGTGTTTTCAGCGCTTGCAATTTAAGTGAGGTATAACAGCAAAATGAAAACCAGGAGGGAAATCGTGAAAAAGAACAATGGTCTTTTGCCCTCTCAGGGATCCCATGCTTATTTCTTTCACAGTGAAATACTCAGTAAACAAGCAATTTTAGGTAGACTTATCTGCCTTTTAACCTTTTAATCAGCCATATTTAATATTAATATTATTTGCATACAGGTAATCCTCATTTAGTGACCACAATTGGGACAGGCAACTTGGTTGTTAAGTGAACTGGTTGCTAAGTGAAACTGCAACTGTGCTTATGATCTTACTTCAGTTTTTCTTTGCTTTACAGACTTGTGAAGGTCGTAAATGCAAGAATTGGTCACAAAGTTACTTTTTCATCACTATTGTAACTATGAATGGTCACTGTACAAGATAGTTTCTATACAAGGACTATCTGCATTACCAAAATCTCAATCTAGTCATGCTTAATGTAACTGTTACTGAGGAAAGCATGCTAATTATCTTGGCTAGTTAAGACCTAATAGGTATTTAGATTAAGCTTATGATGCCACGAGGAAGAAAAATATTTGAAACCCATATTTAGGATAATTATTATTTTATTACTTATATTTCATTCTCACATTCACAGTAACAGCAGAAAGTAACAACAGAAAACCATCTTCCTGTTATAAGAAGCAGCTCATTGTCATTTGGACACAGAAAGGAAGGATGATGGGGACAATGAATGTACATCCAGTTAAGTTAGGCTTAGTTTCATGTATGGTTGGAGAGATCACTCTATTTTCCTTTTACATCATTTTATTCTGTCCTATTTCCACATTAGTCTGAAAACATTTAAAATCTACACATACTTATTAGGTATATATCTTTGAACATATCAGAATATGCAGTTCTAAATATATGTTATCTCAAGTTATACATTTATATATGCTTTATTGTAAAATATTTGGTTTGTGTTTGTATGTGTGCATGTGTATATGCCCTATGCTGAGTGAACTAGACTGGAAAATTCTGAGATGTCAGAATGCTTACATACAATTGCATTCCAATCTGCATATTCATTAGACAAATGCAAATCAGGTTAGTTCCTTGCAAAATTTGCTTGGATGCCTCAAGGATCCCTTTCAAGTAGGGCATGAAAACTAAGACTTCACTAAAAAAGGTTAGTTTTTAAGGCATATTTGAAGAAATCATAGAAAGGGATCTTCAAATAGAACTCATGGGAATTCTGGGACTTGTAGTTCAACATGGCTGGAGTTTGGGGGAAAATAATATAGGGATGAACCAATGTCAAGCATTAAAGGCAGCAAAGAGGAAAGGACCGAATTGCCTAAGAAAGCAGGAGACATCTGGAAAGTATTTTACTAAACAACAGCAAAACATAGGCTGGTCCTGAGCTTGTGGAAAAGGGCTATGGAAATATAAACATCCTACATTTCAGACCCTCTTTCACCTTTCTGAGAAGCCTCATATATAGACTGAGCCTTACCTGGACTTGACAGGACTTTGCCTTTGTTAAGGTGTTTGAGGCGTTTCTGGTGAGATTTCCCATTGAAATGGATCTGGGCCTGGACAGCAGAATTGAGCTGGATATTACACACTTCACAGAGGGTGAACGATGGATGTTTTTTCTCTCTCTTTGTACGCTGCTCTGGAGGACTTCCTATGCATGAGTTCTCCGCGAGGCTTCCACAAATACCACTCCCAGGGGAGTGGAACGGGGTCAGGGGACGCTTCATCCCTACAGCAGAAGAAAAATATAGATACCTAATGAAAACTGGGGGAGGCAAAGGTCATAATTCCAGCTTTAACTTCCTTGGGTACCAAAAATCTGAGAATAACCCCCCCCCCAATAAGTACACATAAGCAGCCTCTAGATGGAGTAAACTGCCTGTACTTTTGTTCACATTGCAGCTTAATTCAAGTCAAACTGGTAATAGAGTGCCCCACAAGAATTCCAATGCCTTTATTTCACCCATGTTTTGTCCAGCTTCTGCTTCATAAAAGAATTTCAATGCTATCTAGACAGAGCTACTTTTCATGGATAAGGTCAGTCACTGGAGTCTAACTTTCTTTTAAACGCTATCTAGCACAACTAACAATTCCCAGATTCACCAACTGGAAGTGAAGCTCAATTCTGTTATGTTGTGGACTTAACTATGGATGCTGGAATGGCTTCCACGGTCTACTACAGCTTGCACATTTCATTCACTGTTTCTTCGTTGCCAGGCTATGTGCCTGCTTTTGTAAATTGTGAAACATGGGGATGCTTTTACACTTCAAGAGGGACAGGTGGGTGAGAGAAACTGCAGCTTTTCCCTTCCCCATATTTTGTCACTTCAAGGTTTTTTCTCCTAACTCAGTTCGGTTCCAGTGTAAAGGAGCAAGTATGGGAAGATTCAGCTCTCTTTCCCTGCAGTTGTGCACTACTTCTTTTTGATATTCAAATCGGACATCGTCTTCAACATTTGAGAGAGCAGCCATTTAAATTCAGTATTGGCTGGTGCTTTCATACATCTGTTAACATTCAGAGTAGTCTAGAAAACTGGCTGAAATTAGGGAATATGTTTTTCATAAGCATTATAATTCCACCTCAACGTTACCCCCTATAACATCCAAGCTGCCTGGAAGTATGCCCATTTGCCACAGAGCCTCCAATGATTGCCATACCATGATGCCACAGAAGAGACAATATTAATGACATATCCCAAACTTTTGAGAAGGAAACATACAAAATGTTAAAACAAATAACATTTCTATGGAGAACTTTAATATGAATGTATAGAAAAAAATGTATGAGATTTAACTTATTATCAGTTAAAATGGCCTTGAAAAGGTTAAGTCTGTTAGTCCAGGGTACATCAGCTTTCTCTTACAACTTGCCAAGGTCTCAGATGACCTCTGACCCAGACATGCTATGACGTGCTACTAAGCTTCCAGTGCACAGATTTCATTAACTGTTTTCCTGCAGGTGACTGGGTTATTTTTAATACTGGCAGAAATTAAAATTGGAAAGTTATCTGGACATAATGCTTCTAAAAGACCACTGCTCTCTAAAAAAAGGATATGCAGTCACTCATATGAGCTAAGCCTACCATCAGAGCTCCAGTTACAGAGTTTTAAATAAACATGCTATATTACGGATCCACTCCTCTCATTCACTTAATCTCTTTGGTGCCCATTTGTCCCTCCTAGAATATTAGACATGACAATTTCACAATATGCCTTTCTTCCCAAACAGAACAACATTAAACCCACTGAGAGAAAAGTAAGTATGTTTACTGAGATGGTGGTTACTGTCATGGAGCTACCTACAATGTCTTGCATATGATTCACATAATTCTCTGATTTACTATGAGACAACTCACTGGAAGCGTTTTGCTCACAATATGAATCTGGACAAGAAGAACTTTCTCTCTTGAGGTCCAAGTGGTTTTAATAGCCCTCTCTCAATGACTACTGCAAATTATATAGTAGGCTTCTGTTACCTGGAGCTCTTTTCCTACACTGGACTATATATTCCATTCCCAGATATCTACTGGTCATGCTAGCAGGAAATTAAGGTAGATATTTTCCAATACTTGGAGTATACAAGTATTACATTACATTACATTACATTACATGTATATACTCCAAGTACACCAACTTGGGAAATTCCTTGTATTATGTTAAAACACAGGCAGCCGCATTTGCACTTTTTAATCTAATTCTGCGGTCCAGAATGCAATCTCTAATGGAAGATCTATAAGTATAGGTGTGTTCCTTGCTTGCTCACTTCTTCCCTTTCTTCCATTTCAATCTGACTCAATGCAAATTACCGTGGGGCAACTACATGCAATTAATATTGGCTTAACCAAGTCAGTTGAAAACCTAATGGCTGTATTCATACAACCCGTTAAGCTTGGTTAATTTTCACCCTGGTGTTTTTTGTTTTGTTTTTTAGTGTTTTTGTATGAGCCCAGATTATTTACTCAGTCTATCATTCAATGTATTGCAAAAACTCAGAAAACAGGTTACAATAATTTAAGTGTGTTGTGTGAACTCTTATTCATTATAAACAACATACTGCCTTGAAATTGTTTCCAGCATCAGTCATCATTCAGGAATTTATGAAGTTAAAATCAAACCTTGCCTATGCAGCCACAGACAGATCTGCAGAAAGATACAAAAGAAAATTAAATACGATTTAACAAGACGAGGTCACAGAAAGCGTTTTCAAATCCATTTTTAAAAGGGCCACTGAGACCAAAACCCTGTCCTAGATGTTTTGCTGTGTTTACTCAAGGATTAGAGCATGTCACTCTGTAGATGTTTGCTTATTGGTATTTGATCATCCGTTTACAGTACTACATTCAAATATAAAGACATGGAGCAGTTATGGATGCATTTTTTTTCTTTCCTCCCCAACTCAAGCAGACAGACGTTTCTGCCCTGAGACCTTAAATGGCTTGGGCATGAAAAGAAAAGAAAAATACAAGGAGAGGGAGAGAGGGTGATTTTCCAAGGAAAGCTGTTAAAAGAAGAGGGAGGCTGGCAGGTAAGTAGCAGCACAGGGACACTGAAGATGGAGGATGGATAGCAAGACATCCTCGACAGATGTCTAAATCTCTTCGAAGTGTCAGAAGTCGTATACAGATGACCTCCAAAAAGCACTTTAATATTTTACAAGCACCTGATTTCCAATCTAGGCAAATGTGTGGGTGCAACTCTTCATCTGCAATGCATCAGCAGAAACATAATACCAAACCCAAGTATTCACTCTATACTTTCCCAAGAACTATATATGAAAAGGGACTCCCTTCCATTCCACTATCCAGGTATCTAAATGTGTTTGGGCATGTGCCCCAATTCTCCAAACTTACAAGCAGGTTGAAAGAGGTTCCGCTTCAAAACAAAAACTGAAATGTTGGCAAAATGTCTCCCATTTACTGACCCGCCCTGCAATTGCAGAACCCAATTGCTATTTGGGTGCACTCTTCTCTATCTGCTTCCTAGGCAGTAATAACACTCATTATTATCTCTTGCTCCCTTAATCACTTCTGCAAAACTGGACATTTATGAACGGCTACAATGAATCTTTTTGTCCCTTTATTAAAGCAGACAAGCCCATTAGGACAGCTTTCAAATGTTAAATGTTTTAATCAGCACACCTAATTTGAATCCCCTATCTTAGTATTAAAACAGAAATCCAATCCAAATCCATCTGACAAGAGTTTAACCAAACAGCCATTCCGCACAGCTGATATATCGCTATTCCCACTATTCTTAAAACAGAAGCAAATGTGGATTTTTATGCAGTCTAAAGAACATCATTGGACACAAATGGAGGGGATAGAAATAGGCTTTGGGAAAGTCAAAAGTTTGCAAAAATACCAAAAAAACCCCAAACCCCAGAAACAGAAACAAAACCAGTGATGAGCCAGTAGCAGCACAAAAAACTTGTAACAACCCAGTGAGAATAATGCATTCTCCTTGGGCCCACGATGCTGACAACGGGGGGAGGGGGGGAATGAAAAATTAGATGGAAGGAAGGAGTGGAATATAGTATCCTAGAGAAGAGCTTTCTTGGCTGATGGTAACACTGAAGAGGAGTCTTCCACACTTCAACATTTTGTTGCAGGCTCCACTAGTGTGTATGAACAGTCTCGGTCTAGGAATGTGCGCCATGTGAAGAAGTGATATACAGATTAGCGTGCCATCGCTCACTGATTCTTTTCACTTTTGAGCTATTGCAACTCATTCCCCCAAGCCTCAAGCCTGGGTAGGGAATTGGAGAATTCATGCATCCATCTTGACACCTCTCTTTTTAGAAATGGAGCATCAATATAAACTAACCTGCATAAATACTCACGAAAACAAACCACACTGCTTGAAAACCTGCCACTGTTGTTGTTCAGTTAGTTTCTTTTTCCTTCCAATGTTTCTAACAGTGTGGTGAATATGATTCCCTCAACCCTCCAATTACAATTCATTTTAAGATATTTGCACACATTCAGTCCGGTGAAGTAAGAGGGGAATTACAATCCACTAACCACACAGGCTAACAGTAAATCTGAATATGGTAAGCAAGCTGTCAGGAAGGGAGCCTCGCCATCTCATTAATAATTTTCTAAGGTCACTTTTATGGCCCTCATAATACACTCCATTACCTGAGTTCTTTTTTCTATTTTAATCTTAATAATGCCATAAAATTCAACACTACCAATTTCTTTTAAATAAAAATAGGAGGAGCAGGTGCACAACAGCAACAAACACTACTGAGAATTCAGAATGAGAGAAATAAATCTGAAATGGGTCTGGGTTATGGACAAAGCACAAATGAATCTGGGAAGGTGGTGGCTGATCCTGTAGAGGTACCAATTTACATTTTAAGGGGAAACTTCTATTGGTGTCTTCAGGAGCAGACCCAGCTTTAGTACAAGGCCAAGTAGGCATCGGCCCAGGGCTCCAAAGCATAGCGGGGCATGTGCCACCCCTCCTTCCAAATCAGTCAATATGGCCTAGGGGCACCATATACCCTTGAGCCAACAATGGTGAGGGGTGGAGGAAATAGGCAAGATGGTGGACAGAGCATCGCAATGCAGGCCCTGCCCCTTTTGTACATCATGCATTGCAAACTGTACCTGCCATTTTGACCATTTTGACTTCCCCCGAGAATACCCATGGAAACTTCTCAGTCACTGTTTGAATTTTGTATATGCAAATAGTCCTCAACTTACAAATACAATTGGGACTGGAA